ACGGAATTAAAATCCACCTAGTTTCACAATGCCTGGCATGTAGAAAGTTATTATTTAGTGGAACCAGAACTTGAAGAAAATGATCCTTGTTGTCTTTCAGCTTCATTATCCCCACCCCACCCTGACTAGGGCTCAGCTTTGCTCGTTTCTCAACCTCATCACAAAATATTTATTAACAAAGACTAAAACATATGCTGTCTTGTGTCGTTTCTAAAACTGCAACAACTTACTGTCTGATAGTTCTTCCCAAATCCCCAAATACAGAAAGAGTATTTACCACTGATGTGGTGGAGTGGACGGCTGGACTAGCCAACGCCCCAAAGCCCCACCTTTAGCTCAGCTCAGGGCAGGCACGATTTCTGGAGTAATCGCTCCGGAAGCAGAGTCACCCAGGGGAGACAGAATTCCGTATCACTGAATGATAACAGCAGTTTTTTAAATCACTGAGACTGAGTGGGTGGACTAGTAGTGGGTGGGTGAGTTTGCTTGACTATCTAGTGATGCTGGTAGGGAAAGAGGAAGCACATTTTCACTGAATTAAGAACATTCCAAAAGTTTGACTGCAAAGGGATTAAAAGGGTTTGTGGAGAGAAGCCTCCTTCATCTTAGGTAGTTTATAAGCCACGAGAGGGTGAAGTACTAAAATGGGGGGAAATTGGTATGGCGTTTCAATGCTCAACACAAAAAGGAAACTTGTTCCTTAAAGCACTGAGTAACATTTTAATGCTCTAGCAATTTTCTGTAGTCACATGAGAAAGGTCTTTGTATCACACTGAGTTTCCTTTAATCTTGAAATCATTGTGAACAGGGAAAATGGGACTGGACAAAAATAAGGGGCCCAGTTTCAAGACTCTCCTTAGAAATCTGGAAGAAAGAGGAGCCTGTAATTAGGGTTTGCTGTGCTCCTGCCCTGGAGGGTGATGTCATCGCCTGGAGAAAGGCAGCTCTCCATGCCAGGAATCTGAGCTTAGCACTCCTCAATAATTCAATAGGGTCTTGCGTGGGAATTCCTCATCTTGGGGATTAGAGGCCAACAAATCTACTTTGTAGGCACCAGTGTTTGGCTAAAGGGAGAAAAAAAATGGGAGTTATGTGAAAGAATGGAACACTGCAGTCCTCCCATTAGAATCACATGGGTGAGGCCTTAATGATCTATTACTAATAATCAATTTTAATAATTAATCCCTGTTCCCCTTTCTATCACATTCCAGCTCAGGAAACAGAAGCACAGAAGGAGGATGTCACAAAGCAAGCTATTCCAGTGCCAGGACAAGCCCCTAGTTGCTTGATCTGCATTTCTGGGCTTTTTGTTCTGTATCATCCTCTGCTCCAGCCGCCATTAATGTCTAGGCTGTGACAGGTGGGTGCTCAGAACCCCACCCACCTACGTGTCACCAGAGTCATTCCCTGGGACCCACAGACACTCATTCACATGACGCATGAGCTTCCAGCAAGTACAGAGCCTGAGGGGAAAAGAACGTCCCCGCTGTTCTTGTCACTGGGCACAGACATGGTGGCACAACCAGCAAAACCGGTTCTGGGTAGAACTGGAATAGTTCTGCCAGGATCCTGCTGCAGTAGAGACTGGAAATCTGCAGCTAAATCCTTGCACCTCAATTTTAACTAAGAGTTGTAACACTGTCTTTAGTTCAACTTTTTCCTATAATTAAATTAACCTATATGATTAGAGTTTCACGTTCTTTCCTTTCTTCCATTCATGGAAAATGGGAGGTAGAAGTAAAACGTAAGTCAGTAACAAAAGGAGAAAGTGGGAATGTGCACTGGAAAAATCTACAAGTCTTATCACCAGGTCTTGATTATCCATTTGTGACAAGATTAGCAAACAGTGTGCTGTTTTCTCAAAATAAAGCCAGTCTCAACATCGTCCTCCTGGAAAGACAAGTTTTCTCAAACGATGCTGCCATCGATCAGAGAATATTTGTAGTGTCCCTTCTGTGTGGCCTTCGACAAAGCTGGTCTTGTGCAAAGGAAAGCTCATTCTTAACCAGAAAATGGCATTATCGAATTTATTGACACGTATTTCCAACTGAACACACGGCTTTCTAATGTTTTTTTAAAAAATCTTCAAAGACCAAGATTTATTGCCATCATGGGTATTCAAAATGATATCACAGCCACAGCGCCAACATATTAGCCTCTTGTCTGCTGCCAACGGGCTGGACAAAGGAACCAGAAAATTCAGGCAGGGTTCCTGGTCCCACTCCTCTCGGTATGCTGTGCCCACTATTTTCTCCAACACTGATCTCCAAGCACTGATCTAAATTGCACATTCAGTTCTCTGATGGGGTATGTTTGAGGCATGAAAATTCAAATGTCTACCAGGCCAGGTAGGGAAAGATCAAGAATGGGGAGAACAAAAGAAAACATTAAAGAGAACAGCCAGTACTCACAGGAGTCACTGATGGCCTTGCAAACACTTGGGCTGTGGATGCCAAGATCTTTAATTATCTAAAAGAACCCAGAAGCCTAGATTTAAAAAAGTAGTCTTCTGACTGACATGGGCAAAAATTTAAATTTTGAAATACTAGTACATGATTGTATGATGGATACATTTTTAATTTCTGTGGACTGTACAAAGGCTGTTGTTCGCAAATTTGTGTCCTATGGCCACAGAAACCAAAACCTCATGTGACAATGAGGCGAGCCCCAGCCCCGAAGCCTACAGATTTCTGTGTGGATAGTGACACAGGGAGCAGAGGACAAAGGTACTGCTCTAGAGATGTCCACGCCATGAAGATAACAAACACTCGCTGCGAGAGGGACACCTTTCACAACTGAGCAATTTACTTTTTAGCAGTGTTTATTATAGAATTAATAATAGTTTAAAGAAATAACTTAGGTTCTGCAGGTAGGAAAAAAGAATCCTTCCTGATGAGGTAGATTTTACTTTTATATTTTCCCTTTTAAACTCCTTCAGTAGCTTGGGAACAAATATTTAGAACTATTCCTATATTACCTATGGGTTTACCCAGACTGCGTACAATTGCAACAATCAAGTACTAGTCACTAAAAATATGCTACTCAAACAAATATCCTCCACAGCCAGGAGACCATGAGTTTTATCTTATCAGCCTGAAACAACACACACTTGCACGTGCAGACACACACACGCAAACTGATGGGAGAGAAGTGAACACCTATGAGGAAGAGTGTGTCATCCAAATTAATGGCCTTGATATGTTAGTTTACCACAGAACCTCCATCATTCAGACTGTCCCTTCTGGTGAAAGAAGGCATCTTCTTTCAAAGGTTCTTATTGACACCTAACAGTTAACACTCTCCCCTACTGGCACTCAGGATCACAGATCTTGGGGTAATGAACATCAGGGTGATGGTCACACAGCTCACATTGGCAGCTGGCCTTGCGTTGGTGAGGCACCTCCAAGAATAGGGTCCCATTGTCTCCCCAGTGACAGCTATGTGCCGGCCTCTCACCTCACACTGATGACTGGTCATTGGTGTTCCTGCCTCCCTGCTCAGTTCACTGAGGCTTCAGCCATCGTACACCACAGCACACACCCAGTACAGCAGAGACCACTGGTAAAGTTTGTTTGTTTTGCTTTGTTTTTGAGTAATAGACCTGAGGCCCAGAGAGGTCAGATGACTTGCTAAGGATCCCAGCTGTGGCCTGTGGTGCAATTGCACAAACTGCCTTTTGATTATCTGGCCCAGCCATCTAGCCTTTGTGAGAACATGGCAGGAAGAGAAAGCTAATGGCTTGGAGGGGAACTTTAAATGGAGGCAGAGTAGATCCTGGAACAAACTTTCCCTATAGTTCTGTATGGGACCTGATCTTCCAACTGCCATTAGGCCCCCTTCCCTCCTTCGGACGCACAGAGCTCCTGGAACATTCCCCAGGGAGCTCTGTGTTCTGCTGTTGCTTGCCCATTTGGGTCACCTTTCTTGGGCCCAAAGCCAATTCCATTTACATTGCTTCATACATGAGTGAAATGAGACACTGAGCAATTCATCTTCTTCTGTAAATCATGCCCACAAGTTCCCAGCCAACTTCCTTTCTCACCCTGCTTGCAGACAATAAAGCATTGAAGGAAGTTGTTTACATTGACCTTTTCATTAGTTTGAAGACAAAGTCTTCTAACACCCTCCTAGATAGTACATAACTGAAGCAGAAAACAAGCTTAGATTTTACCTGGAAACTTCCCTAAGTGCAACATAAGGATCAAGGATCAGCAGCTAAGGAGCACAGAAAGAAGGGTGGGCATAGCAAAGAAGTTGGGCGTTTACATAAAAACAGAGATGCATGACTGGAAAGCAAATGCAGATATGAATGAGTCTACTTTTTTTTTTTTAATGAGTCTACTTTTTAATCTAAACCAGTGCAATGGTGAACCGATACCTTTCTTAACCATATTGGCACTGGAAAAATAGCAAAAGCTCAAGCAGTCAACATGAAGGAAATGTCTCAAGGTCATGGTGATAGCCACACCTCAGGGAGCAAGTTTAGAGACCTGCTCACACCCTCAAGCTCATTAAACCTGGGAGGAGCAGGGGGATCAGGCAGTCTTGCCTAGTCACTTACCAAAGGAGACCAAAGCTCTGAATATTTTCCTGCCTCTGGAAAAGACAGCAGTCACAAAGAGTATTGCGGGGCGGGGGGGGGGGGGCAGGTGGAGCATATCTATAGTGGAGTTGGAAAAAGTTTTCTGGTTTTAACTTTTGCCAGTCCCAAAAGTCAAAATGAGCTTGGGAGGGTCAAGCAGCTCAGTCCATGTTCAGGAGGCCACAGAGGAACAAGCATACTCCCTTTTCTCCTGTGCCTCCTCAAAAAGCAATTTAGCTTCACATAATTGAATGTGTGTAATTTCTAGAGAAATATAGTAGTTTCGTTCCCTTTTGCTCTGGCTCGAGTTAACAGATCTTTCCTTAGCTATATAGACTTTTGCAAAAGAATTATCTGCAGAGAATGGAAGGTAATTTGAAATGTATGAACAATGTTTTGATGTTACTTTTACACTCACCTTTGCTTCTTCATTCACATCCCAGGTAAAAGAAACAGCATTATATGCAATCTCCTCAATGTTTCCAATCGTATTAAAGCTCTCCTTGTAATCAGCTGTAACATTAAATAAGAAAAGGGTTTTATTTTTTTTTTAAGATTTATTTTATTTATACAAGAACTGGGGTACAGTCAGATGCATGGGAGGGTGAGAGGATTCACCAGAGACAAAGTGGGGAGCAGAACAGGCAGATGGACCGAAGACACTGCTGAGGGGAGCAGCAGGCGAGACAGGAGAGGTCTGCCGTGCCATATGGGTATCTCCCTGGCTGGCCTGGCATTGAACCCACGCTGGAGAGGCTGTGGACAACTTCACAGCACTGTGTTCAACCCACTGCACCACCGGGGAGGCCCAAGAAAAATGTTTTAAAAGAGTGACAGTCAGTGACACGTACTGAACTGTCATTTTCCAATAAGAGACTTAAACTTTGCCTATTCTTCTGGCTATCTCTTTGGCAACAATTAAGGGCTTGTATTTGTTGACACTCTTTTGCTAATATTTATAAGAATGTAAGCTTTTCTTTTTTTTTTTTTTAAGATTTATTTATTATTACACAAGAACCGGGATACAGGCCAGATGCACGGGAGGGTGAGAGGATTCACCAGAGACAGAGAGGGGAACAGAACAGGCAGATTGACTGAAATACACTGCTGAGGGAATCAAACCAGCGCTGCAGAGGCTGCGGACAGCTTCACAGTGCAGCGCTCAACCGCCTGCGCCACCAGGGGAGGCCCAAGAATGTAAGCTTTAAAAGAATAAGTCTAGGTGAAGCAATGCTCCTAGTCAATTAATTATTTTCATTTTGTACTAGGTTTATAAAATTATTAATTTTTTTTCCTCCTGAGTCCCTCGTCACCTACTCATGCCCTCTCCTACTCATAGTCTTGCCATTTAGTTTTGCTGGAATCACCGTGTAGTCCATAGAGATTGCTTTGTAGAACAGAATATAATGCAAAGGGGTGAATAATGCAGTCAAAAAACTGCATATAACTTGACTCCCCAAAACTTTACAAGTAGCGTGTTGTTGATTGGAAGTCTTACCCACAACAGAAACAGTTGAATAACACATACTTTGCATGTTATATGTACTATCCACTATAGTGTCACAACAAGGTATTCAAGAAAAAAGAAAATATTAAGAAAATCATCAGTGGATCTCACAAATGTCTTCATCCTTATCATCTTCATGTTGAGTAGGCTAAGGAAGAGGAGGGATTTAAAAAATCTGCAGTAAAGTAGAACTTCAAAATTCAAAGTTGTGTTGTTCAAGGGTCAACTGCATCCTCTTTATCCAGTCATCAGTTTCATCAGTGAAGAAATTCCAGAGGAAAACTTTTTTTTACCCCTTCTTTTTGGACTTTGGTTCAGAGAGCTGAATTAATCAGACACAGCTCATTATCAAGACCTGTCCATTCAAGACCCTTTCTTATTTTATTTTTTTATATAATATTTATTTATTCTTTCTGTATGTCCATTATCCTCCCCCCACAAATACCATAGCTATCAATGTGCTTGCTGGGTATTCTTAGGAAAAAAGTCAGGTTGACTTGCCTGTGTACAGAGCTTTCATTTTCACCAACTGGGTTGTGCTATGGCAATGGTTGCCAGATTCAGCAAATATTTGAGACCTACTTCTTCAAAAGTATTTGTCATTTATCATAAATTCACCCTCTCTTTTATCTGGCAACCCCAACTATGGCTCTTTCAGATCTAACCACATCATTGACTGAATGCCTTTTCTAGCTGTGGATGCAGAGAACTCTGTGAGGCCACCACTCACTTTTCCACCCTCCCCAGAGACAGTGGTCCCCACAGGCAACAATTCCATGAAATTCCTTATCACCAAGGTCTTCATTGTCATTGCTTCAGTTGGTCTTCCTGTCTGAACAGGATATTTCTGTTTATTTTTCTCTTTCTTTTTAAAATAATAGTTTTTTGAGCTATAATTCCAAGACTGTACAATTCACTGATTGAAAGTGTATAATTTGATTGTTTTAAAATAATCACAGGGGCCTCTCTGGTGGCGCAAGGGGTTAAGGGGCAACCTATGAAGCTATCGTCAGCCACTACAGCACGAGTTTGATCTCCGGTCAGGGAGGTGACACACATGGCACAGCAGACCTCTCTCCTGACACGCCCACTGCTCCCCTTACCAGTGTATTTCCGTCGATCTCCCTGTTCTGTTCCCCACTCTGTCTCTGGTGAATCCTCTCACCCCCCACACCTCCAGCCTGTACCCCAGGTCTTGCATGCATAAATAAATAAATCTTAAAAAATAAAATAAATAAAATAAAATAATCACAAGAGTTGCTCATCCATCATCATGATCAATATTAGGACATTTATTTTCCCAAAAAGAAATTCCCCATCCTTTAGCTATCACCCCAGTACCTTTTCTTTTTCTACTCTCTCTGTTTATAAATACTATTATTTACCTGGAAGAATAGATGTTCTGGGGGAAAGGGAGGCTGAATATAAAATAAAGAAAATAATAGTCCTTTATGCATCTCTGCATAGTTTGAAATTTTCCCACCAATCAGGTATTATTATTATTAAAAATGATACTTAAAATGCAGAAGCATATGCTAGTCCTAGTTTAAATCCTCACTGCTTCCTGAGATACTTAACCTATGCCTACCATTTGGAATTTACCCCATATCCTTGGCATCCTTTGATGTGATACCCTACCTTAATTCTGCTCCCTTTTGTACATATAAATAAGCATTTGTCCTACTACCGCTGACATCACAGTAAAGCCCAATTGTTCAATCAAACTGATCATCTAGTCATTTATAGTCTTTAGATTCTTTCATAATTATTTTTCTAAAATGAAACTCGAAAAATAAAATAAAATAAAATAAAATGAAACTCAAATTATGTACTTTTACAATTTTGGGTAAGGCTAACGCTTATAATGTGGCCCATCACATCCATCATAATCAGTCTTCCCTTCAGGTCATTACACTCCTACCTCACAATGGGGGTCAGAGAAAGATTCAACTCTGACAACACTGAAGAGCCTTTTATTTATAAAATCTTTTTGAATATTCTCTTCTGAGTTAGGACGGGAGCAAGGTCTTACGACTGACTTCTAGGATGTACAAGATTTATATTGTGTATAAAATCTGATGTTCCTGGACAAATGGGCATTTCCTCATCTTGCACTTTGTTATGTTGCCATATCACTCCAGGGATGGTAGCTTCTCAAGGCGTTCACAAGTTTTATGATAATGCTGTGAAGTTTTGAAGTCTGTTTTATTCAAGCACACATGTCTGACCTTTTATTTTGCCATCTCCTTTTTATTTATCATAAAATCTAAGTTCATACAATCCCTCTCCAAAATTTTAATTACTTTCCCTTATTAATACCACTCATTTTCTTTTTTTGTGGGTTAGGCTGAGGGAAGTGGTACTCCCATTTGTTTTTTCTATCCTTTTTTAAAAAGATTTATTTATTTATCCATATAAAAATTGGGGTACAGGCCAGAGGTGTGGAGGGTGAGAGGACTCACCAGAGACAGAGTGGGGAGCAGAACAGGCAGACTGACTGAAATACACTGCTGAGGGGAGCAGTGAGCAAGGAGAGGTCTGCTGTGCCATGTGGGTAGCTCCCTGGTTGGCTGGTGATTGAACTAGTGCTGCAGTGGCTGGCAATTGCTTGATAGAGCTGTCTTTAACCCATGCGCCACCAGGGAGGCCCCTGCTTTTTCTATCCTTAATACAAATAATTATAAGTTCCACAATAATCATAAACCCATAATAATCCACAATAAAATAAAGTCAACTTCCTTGTTTTTTAAAAAGGAAAATAAAAACCTTACTACTGGGTCCTGGATTGATGGTTAATAGCAGAAAATCTATTTATTGTGCTCTTCACAATAATCCTCAAGATTCACTCTAGAAAGGGTTATGCCAGTCTAGACTCCAAACAGAATCCTATCTCCTCTCATTCTCACCCAATTTCTGTTTTCTTTTTTGCCAATCTGAAAGGTACAAAGCGGTATCTTAGGGCCTCCTTGGTGGTGAAGGGGTTAAGATGCAACCTATGAAGTAAGTGATCCCTGGCCAGGGAACTACCCACATGGCACGGCAGACCTCTCCTATCTCACCTGCTGCTCCCCTCAGCAGTGTATTTTAGTCGGTCCTCCTATTCTGTTCCCCACTCTGTCTCTGGTGAACCCTCTCACCCTCTGCACCTCTGGCCTGTACCCCAGTTCTTGTATACATAAATAAATAACTCTTTTAAAAAAACACACAAAGTGGTATCCTAGTGATCTTGTATTTGCCTTACTTCTACCACTTGTGAGTTCAAGCATCTCTTCACATCCAAGATAACTAACCAGGTGTCTCCTTACAGAAACTGCCTGCTCATATCCTTTGTCCATGTTTCTATTGGCTTCCCCAGGGAAACTTGAAAGCAAAACTACGTCTTTACATTTTAAATAAGTATACACATGTTACTGTCAAAACTTGGGTGTTAACAATAAGAAAGTCAGAGACCATGAATAAATAAAAAAATATTTAGAAGCAACCACAATCCTCTCACTACAAAGATTAAAAACACATCAATGTATACTTCATTTTCCTAACTCTGTTTCTATTTCCCTTTCTCCAAAATATGGAATACTGTAACTATTATTTTTTTAATTTAACTTTTCCCCTTTAATACATCTTCAGCATCTTTCCATATCAATAAAGAAATTTGTATACAATACTTCCCTAATGGACAAATGTTATTATGTTGGATTATGTGCCATGACTTTATTTTACTCGTTTGTCATTTACATGATGTCCAATATTTTGCTATCTTAAATAGCACTTCATCCAATTCTCTCAAAGTCTAAATATTCATATGTACCTCATTAATTCATTAAGATATATTCTCAGAATTAAAGTGAATAGGTTAAATGCAAATATTTTTGAAGGTTTTTAATTAATTTTGTCAAGTTGATTCTGGAAGGTTAGAACTACATATATACATCTGTGTGTATATATGTATACACACACACACCACACACACACACTTCTTTATCTGCTCAGCTATCATTGGGCATTA